GGGAAAACTGTTTCCCGAAAGTTAACTCTGGAAAATTGTTAATAAAATTATTAAAACTTTGTGGAGATAATTTCCTTTACAATACCATGGATTATCACAAGATATCCGCTACCACCACGTAATTTAAGTTTGTTTATTAAAATGAATAAATAATTCACTAAAGGAGCTACAACACCACATACTTGCATTTCCACCACTTTCGCACCACCACACCCTCGCATTATTTTAAATTTGCAACTTTTTGAAACTTCAGAGATTTCAATTATAAAGAGACCCGTGCCATTCGTTTAAGTCTCCTTTCCGTAAGAAACAAATTTGGAGAGGTTTTTAGAAAAATATGTTTTATCAATTGCATTGACTTTTCGCACAAATTACGCGAAAACTATTCATTCGTTCACAAAATTTTATATGATTTTTATTAAAGAGCTGATTTTTTTAAATAGGATTTGTCTAAGGCAAAAATCGCTATCTTCAATTTTATAGTTTTGAAATGTAAACTTTTTGAAATTTTCAAAAATTTGGAGTTCGCCGCGAATGGGACAGGCACCATATTTTTTACCGTCCCTTGACACTGTGGGGAGAAAATTTAAAGAAAAAATTTAGAGCAGGTTTTGAGAAAAAAAAATAATGAAAAATATTAATGAAAAATTAGTGTAATTTTAAAACCACGTAACTGTTACTATTTGCTTGAGAAAAAAAATTTAAAACGCAAATTAGCAGAAAATTCCATAACCTTCAAAACTGTTCTGAACCATTTTTGCAGTAAGATCAACCACGAAAATGTTATTTTGCAAAAACCAAAAAATTCCCGTAAATTTCGTTATTTTGTGGTTGACAAATCTTTTCCCAAAGCGTGTCGAGTGGAAAAATTAAGGTTTTCTTACTAATAATGACTCATCGACTGGTCTAGTTTCCGTACATGGTGCTTTTTCGTACACTAGTATGTATATGTACCATAGTCAAAATTACAGATTGCTACAAAATTCAATAGCGAGAATTTGGTTCAAATATTCATTAAGAAGGCACCTGTTATAGAATCAGTTGCTTGTTTTAACATAGGCTTGCCCCCTTGTTTTGCTATTAACCTCACTA